TATCCTAAACAGTTTGTATCATCTGCAAACTTTACTACCTCACTGCTTATCCCTTTCTCCAGATCATTTATGAATAAGTTGAAAAGGATTGGTCCCAGGACTGACCCTTGGGGTACACCACTAGTGTATAATGAAACTAGGATTGAATCTTGCTTATGTTACCCATGATTATGCTCTCAAAGAAATTAATGAGCTCTTTCAATGAGTAAGATGATGAGACCTGATACTCTAGAACAGTGGTCTCCAACCTTTTTACACCCAAGATCACTTTTTAAATCTCAGAACAGGCGAAGATCTACTGCCCCGCCCCTTCCTTGAAGCCCTGCCCTCTCTATTCTCCTCCTGTCCATCACTTGCTATCCCCAGCCCTTACTTACACATGCTGATAAACAGCTTATTTTTAAATTATACGATATATAAAATTAAAATCATGTGTTTATAGTTAAGAAATAAATGGTCTGTTTTTTATTCATGCTATTTAAATCTAAAATGAAGCATTTATAATTATACATTTTATGGGGACAGAGGCCTATGGCTGGGGGCAGGTCTGTTTTTTATTCATGCTATTTAAATCTAAAATGAAGCATTTATAATTATACATTTTGTGGGGACAGAGTTCTGCGGCTGGGGGCAGGGAAGAGGGAACAGGGTGCTGGGAGGGCAGAGGACAGGGTTCTGCGGCAGGGGACAGAGTGCCAGTGGGGACAGAGTTTGGGGAGTGGGGACGGGAATAAGGACAGCGTTCTGTAGCTGGGGACAGGGGAGTGGGGACAGCGTTCTGTGGCTGGGGAGCGGGGTGCCAGTGGAGGCAGAGAGTCCTCTGCATCTGCCTCCTCCCAGGATTCCCCCTCCCAGAGGGAAACCAGTGCATGTCTGCCCCAGGGCCGACCCTCCCCTCCCCCGGTGCAGGGAAGGCCCGCGCGCGCTTGCCCCGGCACCAACACCCCCTGCGCAGGGAAACCCCGCGCGTGCCTTCCCCGGGGCCAACTCACCCCTCCTGTGTGGTCCAGGGAGCCAATGCTCCCTCCCGAAGTACATCCAGAAGAGCAGCTAGCGCACTTCCGGAATCGCCAGAAGTGGAGCTAAGCTGCGGGACTTCTGTCCATCCCCGGGAAGCTGACACTACCTCCATTTTCACTTGAGGTAAGTAGTGGGGCTTCTCGGGGGTGGGAGGGAAATGGGGGTGGGGCGGACAGGACGCCTCGCGATCAACTAACTGGTCAAGGCCTCGCGATCGACCTGTTGGTGACCACGGTGCTAGAAAAATATATTAATATTTAGTTGCATGTTCTAAGTCATGCAACTAAATCACATTTGAAAATAGTTAAAAAAAAACTAGCATGAGTAATGCACTGTCCTGGTTTCAATACTCAAAAGTAATTTTTAATTGTTATTTTACCTTTAATTTTCTTTTTTAGCTCTTCTTCATTTTTTTGGTCAGAGTCAGTCAGTGTCTTAAATAGTCCAACACTTACTCGCTGAAAGTTAAATAAATATTCCATCAGAAGACTTTATAAAACAAGGTTTCCAAATGTGCATTCAGTTAAGTATTTGTGTTGGTGAAGATGGAATTCTGTCCAATTTAAAAGAATTAAGATCAATAAACTATAACCAGACTAGGAAAGTAACAAAACTGTCTGCAGAAACACAAAATGTATTCCACATCTGGGCTTTTTTTAAGCCCCATTATCAGATGTGTTAGTTAATGTATTTAGTAGGAAGTCCAAGGAAGAAAGTGTCTCTTAACTAAGTCCCTATGCAAACAAATGATAAATTTTCCACAAGAATCCTTCCCTCACCTTACTAAAACAAAACATTTTACAGAACTCTTTTAGACATCCACCAACCTTCCAAAATAATTTCAAGATGATTCTACAATAACATGAGGCCAGCAATTTATTAATGCATTTATGAGGGACTTAAGACACCCATTTCAAGTTCTTTTTATGTTTTCAACATGGCAGAACTGGATCTACTGTTTAGGACTACAGGCAGTCCCCGACAATATTAGCCCAATGTTTTCAACATGGCAGAATTGGATCTACTGTTTAGGACTACAGGCAGTCCCCGAATTACGTCGGATCCGCAGTTACGAACGGGGTTTATTGCCCGTCTCCCTGGTCTGCTGAGACGGGGAGCAAAGCCTCGGAGGACGCCGGCAGCGGGACAGCCGCGGCGCGTCTGGGCTGTCCGCTGCCCGCGTGTTCCCCGGCTTTGCTCCACGTCTCCTTGGTCTGCTGGAGACCAGCAGACCAGGGAGACGGGGAGCA